CGCATTTCTCACCACAATTCATTATCATCATCATATACATCACAATATATGTATAAACAAACATGGATAATCACCAAACATATTTATCATGCACACATCCATAATTCTCGTCAATCCACATAACATACAAATGCGCATACATTCACACAACATTTATCTCTATGCCATGTGACTCAATGCAACTCATGCCATGTGGTACCAACACTTGTTATCATTTTTCGGTTTTTACATTTAAACCGGGTCCGTCCCCTAGACCGATAACAATAAAAGTCCGTCCTCTAAGCTTTCAAACCCACCCTTCTAGGTTTGGGACAAGTCACTAGTCTCCACGAAACTAGCAAGCATTGCCTCTTGACTAAATGGTGTGTATGCAATCAACAACCATATGCACTTAAGACCGTTCTCACATCTTAATCCCATGCATAGTCAAATAATTCATCACACAAGAATTATATCATGATTGCATACTCACACATCGTATCAAAGTATTCATACTTTCAACATCATCACATTTATCAAGCAATGCACACATATTCACAATATGTTCTCATGCATTATTCACAATATTGCATACAATCAATATGCATTCACAGCAATTATGTCAAACGGCAACCAAACGCTCTAATTATTTAAGCCTCACCTACTTAAAATAATTAATCTCGATTAATCGGTAAAATCGGCTAAATGTCGGCTAAAAATAATATTTCTTTTTCCCAAGTTATAGAACATATTATTAGCTTCAGTTTGATATAAAGAACGACAAAATCCGATAAACGGCGAAGAAGTTATGAATTTTTAAAGTTTTGAAAAATAATATTTTTCTCACACTTACAGTGTTAACCGATTAACACTTTCCGTTAACCGGTTAACACACCCAGATTTTCAAAATCCTGGCGCATTAACCCTCAGTTAATCGGTTAACAGATATCGTTAACTGGTTAATCGCTCTAAAAACTCAGTTTTTAGGCCATTTTTTTACCGTTAATCGGTTAACCCAAAGTGTTAACCGGTTAACACCTGAAATTTTGGAAAAACAAGGCTACAGGTTTTGGCCCAAAACCTCCAAAAACCCGACCGATTTAATTATTTTCTCCCGATTAAATACCTACTCATCATTACCAATATAGTAACAATTTAGGATCATAAAGTACAATTTTTACGACTTCCGATTTTCATCCAAAATCTTAACCTCCAATTGTCCAAAAATGTCAAAACTCACAAATTCAACCAAATTCAATCAAACGAAATCCAATAATCATGGCTAACATTACCCGACTAAACTACACATATTATTTCGAGTTTCATCCGCGAAAATATCGGTTTCTATCGATTAAACTCATTTCTGCCCTAAAATGGAAAATGAGCAAAAATTCTCCAACAATCCAAACCAATTCAACAAACACATACATAATCATACACATTGATAGAATAATAAGATTTAACACCCTTACCTTGATTAAATCGAAGCCAGAAGTTGTTCTTGAGCTTTCCAAGTTTTTCCCTCTTTCCCTTCTCTTTTCTCCTCTTCCTCTTTCTCTCTCTTCTCTTTCTCTTATGTTTCTATCCTTTCCTTTTCCTTCCACTTTTCCTTATATGCATTTCTATTCTATTTCCTTCTATCATATTTCTCCTCTCAAATATCTACCAATAATTCCAAAAATTAAAATCACTCAAATAAATCAATTAATTAATATAAATAATTAATTATTGAAAAATTGGGTTGTTACAAAATGGATGCATCAAAATCAATTATTAACTTATTGGTTTTCTTTTACTAAAACTTTGGAATTACGTTTTGTCCTTCTACTTATGATAACCATCAAGCTGAGTTATTCAAATTGAAACAAGATGGTTATGTTGTGGACTACCAAACTAAATTCAAAAGATTAGGCAACCAGTTTGTTGGCTTATCTCCTGATGCAATATTACATTGTTTTATTTCAGGCTTGACACTTAAGTTTCGTAATGAAATGGCGACTCATCGACCTACCTCCATTTCCCAAGCTATTGGTCTTGCCAAACTCATCAAATCCAAACTAAAAGACTTTAAACCCAAATTCTCAGGACCTTCCCAAAACTATTACTCTAAATTTACCCATTTCCTTCTAACCCCGAATCATTAAAACCCATAGTCTCAATTCTGCCACAAGGAACAATCCCATCTAAACCTCAACCCTCAAGATTACCCATTTGATGCCTCTCACAAGACCAACTGTAAGAGAGACGGGCTCAAGGTTTATGTTTTAATTGTGATGAAAAGTTCATTCCATGTCATAAATGTTCAACTCGCCGATTTTTAATCCGTTTGGCTGAGGAAGACTCTATTTTTTATGATAATATTGTTGAGGACAACACAACACCAGAGGTTGGGCCAAATCTTGGAGATACATACTTTTAGTTTTCCACACAAGCTCTTACGGGTCAGTTTCCGCCATAAACATTAAAGTTTAATGGACTAATTGGTGACCTCACAATCATGGTTCTCGTGGATACTGGAAGC